GAGAGCGGGCCCGGGAGGCCCCCTCGGCCCCTGCTGGCGCCCCGAGGGGGCCAGCGCGCGCCCTGGCGGGTGTTTACCTTCCCCCTGGTCGAGCGCCAATGCCGCCATCTTTCAGCCCGATGCGCGTCACTTCCGGCGCCACGGGAGCGGGAGCGGGTGTGGGAACACGGTGGGGGGGAGGGCTGTCCCGCGCCCGCGGCGCCCCGAGTCTCGACCGCCTGTGCACCACGCTAGCGGGCCCCGCCAAGGAAAAGAGGCGACCGGGTGCTGCGGCTGCTGGCCCGGCCCGACTTCCCCCGCGGCGCCGCCGTCGGGACTGGGGACGCTTGACTGTCCTCGTCCCCTCGCAGCGGTCCCTCTCAGGCTGCAAGAACGGTGGGCCCGAAGACACTGTGGTGCGCCCACCCTCGACAAGTTGAGGATTAGGAAACCCAGAAAGTGTCTTTTTGCCTCTGGCACATGGTGGGGGTGGAGGAATTGGGGACAGCGTGAAGGAAGCTTTGCCATAGCTACCTGTTACAAGAGTGACTAGATCTGAGCCAGATGACATCATTTTTGCAAGACAACTTGCAGTGGATGATTGCGTCACAGTGCCACTTGGCTTATTGCACAACAATTACACATTTCAGAAATCAATTTTCCAGAGGTGGAAAATCATTCATAGAAAATGGCATGTCTGCACCACACGGAGAAATGCCGGATCTACAAAAGCTATTTTATTTCTCCTTATGCCAAAATAAGCAAGGACGAACATTTAGAGGGCAGTGATTTTTGTTGTTCGCTTTTAACAAATTAGCGATAGAATTCTAGCGAATGCTTTTAAAATATCGCCTTTTCTTGATTTGAGAATATAAAACTACACTATAGGAATCTTGTAAATGTGTTATTATGATATCTCTTTGTGGGAAAAGGTAGGTAACAAATGCACAGTTGGAGGCTAGTAGTTCTACAACTAACCTTAAATTAGGGCGTCCGTTGCCCATTTCTGATCCTAAACTGAGGTATTTCTGTTTCCCCCACCCCCACTCTCACCCCCCGCCGCCATTTTCTCTCTAAACCAATATCCCGATGAACTTTCTGTGAGATGTGTGGCTAAAAGCGATCATTATCTCTTTCTAGCAAACTTGAACATGCCATGTTTCCCAAGAGGCCAAAATAGCACACGGTGTACTGATTTGCTGAAGTAGAGTACTTCGTGGGAAAAAACAGAGAATCACTTCAATCTTTTGGAAATAGGGAAATACGTTTCCTTTTCCGATTTAAACTATAAAACAAGCTTTAAAAAATCATAAACCACTGACAGTCCCGACTTGTTCACACATTCTTTCCACCTTTTCCAAAAGATCCTTAACATATTTATGTTCATTGTTTTAAAATCCTTGCTGGAGCCGGGTTCGGTGGCTCAGCCTGTAATCCCGCGCCTTTGGGAGGCTGAGGTGAGTGGATTGCCTGAGCCCGCGGGTTCGAGACCCGCCTGGGCAGCGAGACCTCATTTCTACAATAAATCAAAAAATCAGCCGGGCGTGGTAGCGCATGCCTGTAATTCCGGCTACTCGGAAGACTGAGGCGGAAGGATCGCCGGAGCCCAGCAAGTCGAGGCTGCGGTGGCCGGGAGCGGCCACTGCACTCCAGTCTGGGCGACAGAGTGAGACTCCAATTCAAAAAAAAAAACAAGCCAGGCTCGGTGGCTCAGCCTGTAATCCCGCGCCTTTGGGAGGCTGAGGTGAGTGGATTGCCTGAGCCCGCGGGTTCGAGACCCGCCTGGGCAGCGAGACCTCATTTCTACAATAAATCAAAAAATCAGCCGGGCGTGGTAGCGCATGCCTGTAATTCCGGCTACTCGGAAGACTGAGGCGGAAGGATCGCCGGAGCCCAGCAAGTCGAGGCTGCGGTGGCCGGGAGCGGCCACTGCACTCCAGTCTGGGCGACAGAGTGAGACTCCAATTCAAAAAAAAAAACAAGCCAGGCTCGGTGGCTCAGCCTGTAATCCCGCGCCTTTGGGAGGCTGAGGTGAGTGGATTGCCTGAGCCCGCGGGTTCGAGACCCGCCTGGGCAGCGAGACCTCATTTCTACAATAAATCAAAAAATCAGCCGGGCGTGGTAGCGCATGCCTGTAATTCCGGCTACTCGGAAGACTGAGGCGGAAGGATCGCCGGAGCCCAGCAAGTCGAGGCTGCGGTGGCCGGGAGCGGCCACTGCACTCCAGTCTGGGCGACAGAGTGAGACTCCAATTCAAAAAAAAAAACAAGCCAGGCTCGGTGGCTCAGCCTGTAATCCCGCGCCTTTGGGAGGCTGAGGTGAGTGGATTGCCTGAGCCCGCGGGTTCGAGACCCGCCTGGGCAGCGAGACCTCATTTCTACAATAAATCAAAAAATCAGCCGGGCGTGGTAGCGCATGCCTGTAATTCCGGCTACTCGGAAGACTGAGGCGGAAGGATCGCCGGAGCCCAGCAAGTCGAGGCTGCGGTGGCCGGGAGCGGCCACTGCACTCCAGTCTGGGCGACAGAGTGAGACTCCAATTCAAAAAAAAAAACAAGCCAGGCTCGGTGGCTCAGCCTGTAATCCCGCGCCTTTGGGAGGCTGAGGTGAGTGGATTGCCTGAGCCCGCGGGTTCGAGACCCGCCTGGGCAGCGAGACCTCATTTCTACAATAAATCAAAAAATCAGCCGGGCGTGGTAGCGCATGCCTGTAATTCCGGCTACTCGGAAGACTGAGGCGGAAGGATCGCCGGAGCCCAGCAAGTCGAGGCTGCGGTGGCCGGGAGCGGCCACTGCACTCCAGTCTGGGTGACAGAGTGAGACTCCAATTCAAAAAAAAAAACAAAAAAATAAAATCCTTGCTGGCTGTATTTGTGTCTATTACTGCATGGCAAATTACACCAAAATTTATCACTTCAAAACAAAATTTTAAAACTTTTTAACTATGAAATAAAGTTAAAAATCACGCATTCAATTTGTGAACATTTCAATTTTCATATATTAGTCCTGAATATCTAAAAGCCCTGGATTTTTATTTTTGTACATTAACACGTACATTTTGAGCTATGCATTAATTACTATGTGACACTGACCTGTCCAGAGACTCCTGTACTTGAATCAGGCAAGAACTGAAATGTGCCTGTGCTCTGTGTAGCAGGTATACACACACACACACAGTGAGTGTTGTCAAAAGTCATTATGTGCTCACTATACACCCTTATGACATACATGATGTTGTAGGTGGCATTTCATTACATTCCAAAGGTACTTTTCTGAGACACTTCATTGTAGTTTCTGAAACTGAACTGTGTCTTTCAGTCAACCTATATATTTACTATGTACACCACAAAATTAACTTTTTTTTTTTTTTAGTCGGGAGTCTCACACTTTCACCCAGACTGGAGTGCAGTGGTGTAAGTGAGCCTTCCACCTCAGCTGGGACTACAGGTGCACCACCACAGCTGGTTAATTTTTTATTTTTTGTAGAGAAGTGGTCCCGTTATGTAGTCCAGGCTGGTTTTGAATTTCTGGGCTCAAGTGATCCTCTCGCCTCGGCCTCACAGGGTGCTGAGATTACAGGCGTGAGCCACCACGCCTGGCCCCCCAATTTTTTTTAATCAATAATGCCTCTTTCACGCTCATTAAAAAAAAAAACAGTAATGTGTTGTATATCGAAGGGTCTATGCTGGGCGTGGTGGTTCACATCTGTAATCCCAGCACTTTGGGAGACAGAGGTGAGAGGATTGCCTAAGCCCAAGGGTTCAGACCAGCCTGGGCAACTTGGCGAGACCTCGTCTCTACAATAAATCAAGAAACATAAGCCAGGCGTGGTGGCGCATGCCTGTAGTTCCAGCTACTCGGAAGGCTGAGGCGAAAGAATCATCTAAGCCCAGCAGGTCGAGGCTGCGATGGCGGTGAGCGTGCCATTGCCTGGGCCACACAGTGAGACCCCCAACTCAAAAAGAAAGGAAGGAAAGAAGGAAGGAAGGAAGGAAGGAAGGAAGGAAGGAAGGAAGGAAGGAAGGAAGGAAGGAAGGAAGGAAGGAAGGTCTGGTATCTTAAGAAGACATTCTGCTCCTCTAATATCAAGGAAAGTTAACTCCACCCCCCCTTTTTTTTTAGTCACAGTCTCACTCAGTCGCCCAGACTGGAGTACACAATCACATCTCATCTCACTACTGTCTCGACCTCCTGGTCTCAACCTCCCGAGTAGCTGGGACTACAGGCGCTTGCCATTATGCCAGGCTAATTTTTCCGGTTTTTCTGTAGAGACGGGGTCTAGTTATGCGGCCCAGGCTGCTCAAACTCCTGGGCTCAAGTGATCATCCTGCCTCGGCCTCACAGAGTGCTGAGATTACAGGCGTAAACCACCTCCCCCACCCCATTTCAATAAATGAATGCCTCCAGGTAATTCCTTCTTCAATTTGTTTTCCCCATCAATTGCTGGAAAGTACTGAGAGTTGCTAATACCTTGAGGGTATCCTTTCCAGCTCTTGGAGTCCCACAGAGCAGATGGAAGCTGTCTTTTTCTAGCCCTTTAGCCTAAGTATCTCAGAATACACATTCTTCTATAGCTACCTATCTAGCAAACATCAAGTCAGAGACATGCTAGAGGCTTGGTACTGGGAGGGGTGATGGAAAGGGAAGGAGGTTCCTACCCAGTTGTTTTGAGAATTTAGGATACTGCATACCCACCTCCTGTTTTTTTGTCTTTTGTTTTTTTAACAAATCGAGGCTTTTCTGGCCGGGCGTGA